CGAGCTTTCTGCACACTCTTTCAGCTATACTATGTATTTGATGACACAATGATGTTTGGTCGTCTCTTTCCCAGAGACTGTAAATATTAAACGAAGTAAGGGAGAGCAAAAAGTCCAAGTTTGCATTACTCATAATGAAATTCATTCGGACTCTGCGGAACAGGATTTCTGATGAAAAGTGGGCGCTCATAACATGTGTTAGTTTTCCTTAATGAAAAATATAATATTTATACGAGTGGACATGGAGTTATGATCCAAAGATGGCCGTCAGGTTTACTTTGCCGAAATGGAATATTCTAATGAAATGGTATGTTTGAAAAGGAACGTGTGATATTTGCTTTCATGACAAACAGTAAATGATATAAAACTCTGCTTTTGTGTAAGAGATGTGGATATTACGTAAGATACAAGAGTAAGACAACAATCAACAATACTTGGTAACTGAATTTAGAACCACTGGCGTAAAATAAATCTATTAAGAAAGTTTTTTTCTAGCCAGAAAGATATTTAATATATCTCGACATGCATTTCGATAACCAAGTTAATAATAATGGTAATGATAATAATCGACTTTATGATACATGCTTTCTTATCTGTATTTACATTAGTTGAAAAAGACCTTAAGATGACCTATGACCTGTTAGTGTTTTTTAACTCAACCCCATCATTAGGAGATTAGTAAAAATCACTCCAACGACTATGTTGAAGTATTTATATGCAACTAAACGAATGTCACCTAATGAGAGTCATTAAATATATTCTTACTATTTTGTTATTGTTTCTTATGTTATTTGTTACCTACTTGATACCTAATATTTACCTTATTTCTACCTGGACTTATCTGGACTATGAAACCGAATACAATGAAGCATGTTCCTTGTAGCGAGTTACTCTAGTCCGTTTAGTTTGACCGACACATTCAAAACTCACAGACTTTTCCTTTTCCGTCTTCTTGTCTTTCGAGTTGCCTGACTCTTGGTGAATTAATTATACGATCAGTTTTGAAAGCCACTTTCATATTCAATTTTTGAAAAATTCTGAGAGTCAAACATTCACGAAGATAGTCCCTAAATTTTCGTATCCTGATTGAATCATCCACTATATTTGACGAATGTCTGTTACTTTCAGCTTGATAACTTTTTTCTTTACATCATATCTTTCTTTGCTCAAGAAGGAAGTGACCAGCATACTGCCAATAAAATGAAATACCGCCGTTTTTTGTTGTGGACAGTGGTGTCACCTGTCGAAAAGCTGCTAGAATTCTTCCTATATACATCAAATTTTGAACCCTTTTTTAGCGTTTTTTATAACGAGAATAGCCAAGAATGGTAACTCAGATTGAGTTTCAAACTTTTCTTTCCTAATGTAATACTTCATAATCGTGATTGAACTCATGCCCCTTTGTATGCAGATTATTTGCAATTGGTCTTCACAATTTAGCAGTTATTTGCATTGCTGCGAAAATTGAACTTCGCCTTTTACTATAACTTTTTATATGTAGTTAGAACTTGATACTGTGTTTTTTGTGGTTGTAGTAATAGACGTTTATTATTATTATTATTATTACATTCAATAAAATACTCCTATGTTCTATTATTCTTTGGAAAGATGTTGTACCCGTTAGTCCAATATAAAGTTTCGAGCACGAACCACAAGTCCACTTATTTACTCCCGATTGTATTCGATAAATTTGCTTAAATTATTCTTTGTCCGGTTAGCCAAAGACTTTTCTTTAAGAAAATGAGCAACAGAAATAAAAATGCAATGTCTGATAGATCGGAAGTATATTGATCAAACAGGCAAAACCTTTTCCCAAAAAGAAAATCTTGAATGGGAAGACCAATTCCACATTTGCTAACGACCATGACTATGAAATATTACATTTGGCAGTGAAAGGTTGGAAACTCAACCTTTTGGGTTGCTCAGAGGAGATTCCCTCAATGCATTGCTCACTGGTGAATCAAGGTGAATCAAGAAAAAGAACTATTCCTTTAAATTATTTCCTCATATGCTGATTCATCGAAGAGAAGCAAATTTAAGTTTATCTCAAATTGCGAAAATAATATACAGCGGTGGTCCCAATAACAATATACATATTCAAGAAATATTTTTATGATGAAACACTCACTGTATTTTTCTATCTACATTCATTTTTAGGAGTGGCTAATTTTTTGTAAAAGAAAGTTTTTGGCTTTCTACTTCTCCATTCTGGTACAAAAACATGTAAGAATATTCCGAAGAAAGGGAGGAAGCAATCAATTCTAAAAAAGTAATTCTATACAAAGATAGATCATTACAAGAAGTTACTTTCAGACACAAACTGGAAGAAAAAGCCTTCTCGAAATAGCTATATTCATATAAACATTTAAAAATACGAAAGAAAAATACATTCGAAACAAATACTTTTATATGAACAGTGAATCATGCAAAAATCACTTTTCTCTATTCAGTTTGTATGCCAAACACTCGCTATGGAATTGAATCAGATATAATTCACACGATTCCTATACAATATAGTAAATGAAAGAGGTAAAATTTCATTATTTTCTAGACATTCAATAAATTGCGAGTTCTAATATTTTTTCAATACAAGGCAGTGTTGATTGGTCTAAATTCCCAGGATTTATTTGTGTTAGGGACTTTCAGAATTGATACAAGGACACTGGTCTTGAGCTCCTTCGGGAATCTGCCAGTGCTCAAAGATGTATTTATAATTTAGACAAATCTACTCACTCCAACACTTTTAATTTCTCGAAGGAGTTGTTTATCGATATAACATTGTTCTCATGTAGTGAATCAGTTTGATCAATAGTGTTCACAATTTCTTGTACGCTATCAATAAAATAATTGGTAAATGATTCTGCAACATCTAGATTATTTTTATGAATGACTGACTGGCCATTTATTTTGAAATAAATACCATCAGTAAACGTATTTCTGTTAGTCTTTGGCCTTACAAGCTGTTTGAGTGTTTCCCACATAATGCTCTGATTTGACCTATTTTGACCAATTTTATCATAATAGTGAATAAGCCAAAACCTTTCCTTCCCAACATTGGATACTAGAAATTAATTGAATGATAATGATTCACAAGATAATGATTCGTCTAGATGTGTATGAAAACGTTACCATAGTAACGACTATGTAGTCTCAATCAGAGTAGAGAGTAGTCTCAATCATCATCTGATGATGCTAATTTCGACTTCAATCTCAAAATTTCGATATCAAATTCGAAATATCGATTTTCAAATAGTTAGCACGAGTTCAAAGTCGAAATTTTGAGTTTAAAATAGTAATGTCGAATTTAAAGTCGAAATTTCTAGTCGAGATTATAGTCAAAATTTCGTTTTCGAAGTCGAAATTTCAAGATTGAAGTCATAATTTCGAGTTAAAAGTCGAAAGTGGAAAGATCAGCTTTTTATAAATACATTTTACAGATAATTGTTGTATGTATTGGCCTGTAAAAATCTATTGTAGTGCAAATTCTAACCTTGAGAGCATTTCATAAGTTGGCCATGTTTGAGTGCCATATATATCTGTGAAAGCGCAGATTACAGATCCGTAACAAAAACCTACGAGGGTGGCTATTCCCATTCCAATAATTTCGTTTCGCACGCCAATTTTCAATAAGCCCCTGTGCTGGATGACTGATCCGAATGTACCTGCCATTACAGGACCCTAAAATCGAAATATTTTTTGCAAAATCAGACTGCAAAAATATTAATGTAGGTATCATATCGCGAGATTTGGATTCAGAGTGAGTGGTAGTTTCAGTATTTTCATCCCAAAAACTTGATCTAAACGGTTCAGCGATTTGATTGATTCACAATCTGAAGGAAGTTAGAGAGTTATTCGTTTATGTGTGATTGAAGCGAGAGAAGGGTTTCACCCTGTTAAATGTTAATAGAGTGATGAATCGATATTAATCATCTCCTGATAATGTCAACTTTCTTTAGGGAGCAAAGTTTAGATTTTAATGTATCTGATAATCATAAACTATTCAAAACAATTTTCAGTCTACAAAAACTTTGATTGCAGAAATAAGTGTGTCAATACAGGGTGAGTCATCAAGATTCCCTCGGTCCATTGCTATCAGAGAAAACAATTTTTCGAACTGCTCAATTTTTTTTGCAGTCATATCTATGAATACTATCTTTCAAAATTATTTTCTCGCATACTGGGTGATTCAGTCGAGCGTGGCCAACTGAAGTTATATTTTTTTAAATAGAACACCCAGTATATGAATTCGTCATTCGATTCCATATTTTTTTAGCTCTCTAAGGAATCTTTGTTCTCGAATTTCCATTGCGGCATTGCCAAGTTATTCCAGAAAAACCTATTTTGCATTTATCAGCGGTTTCAACGGTAAGAAATGCGTAAAAAAACTAAAGAATATTTATACTGCTTATTTCCTAAAAAACCCAGAGATCCATGACTAATATCAAAAAATGAATCTCGGAATTCGTCAATAACGCCATGTATTGAAGTTTCTTTCGCGTGTAGATTGAATCATTTTCAATATGAATTATGTATTGGAAGATATGGTGCAAATGGTCTATGCTTTGGTGGAAAGTGACGGAAGCTGCCTTCTTGCATCTAAGATTTACAAAGAGAAGTTCCCCGAAAGAAGACAACCAGATGGAAGGGCATTTCAGGCTCTAAAAACAAGATTTGAAAGAACTGGTAATGTTAATCACGAGAAGTTCGAACGTGTCTGTCCTGTAACAAATGAAGAGAATACACTTCAAATTGCTATTCACCTTGTTGAAAATCCTCATGTGAGTACCCGAGACCTGAGCAGGGAATGGGCATTTTCTCAAACCAGCGTGTCTCGAATGATATGAGCAAGCAAATTTTATCCTTTCCACATGCAATTGATGAAGAGATTTTAAAAAACGTATTCAATTTTGCCGATGGGGCTTAGAAAAGATCAATCAGGAAAATATTTTTTTCTATTCAGGGTTATTTTCTGATGGAGCGACTTTTCATAAAAATTGAAACTGTGAATCGGCATAATATTATGCAACGGAAAAACCGCATTCTGTTCGTTGCCTGAACCATCCAAAGCGTTGGTCACTGAATGTTTGGGGTGGAATTCTCGGAAAAAGAGTTATCGGTCTTTATTTTTTGGATAGGCATCTCACTGGAAGAAAATATGTAAGATTTCTTCGGCATAAGTTTTCGAATTTATTGGACGGGGTTCCGTATGTAACAAGACTTAGAATGTGGCTACAACAAGTCGGTGCACCACCATATTTTAAAACTGAGGTACGGGAATGCCTCAACGATCATTTCAATAAAAAATGGATAGGTAGGGGTGGGCCTGTGGCGTGGCCACCAAGATCACCTGACCTGATCAAAATGGATTTTTTTCAATGGGGGTATATCAAATGGATTCTCTACCAAACTCCTCCAACATCTATAGAAAACAAGAAGATTGGTTACAACAATTAATAAAACTGAGTATAGTTTGTAAAATATTTGTTTTTCGTATAGTTTACCTACCTCCGATGAAAAATGTAGTGAAATGTTAAAACATTTCACACGAATGGAAAGATACAGGGTGTTCCATATGAAAAAGTTGAATTATGTGTGTTTGAAAATGAATGAAACTTGACTGGTTTTACTGAGCACCCTATATATTGTTTCCGAAAGTTGAGATTTCAGAAATTATCATAGTGTTGTTGACTAACAATACCTAAAGAAATCCACTTAATTGTTGTAGACTTGAGGGTGGTGAATTAAAAAAATATTGTCTGCAAAATAGGTTTTTCTGGAATAACTTGACAATGCCGCGATGGAAATTCGAAAAGAAAAATTCCTGAAGAGCTGAAAAAATATAGAGTCCGACCGAAAGTTCGGTTTCGGTATCGGTTTCGGGCGAGTTTCGGCAAAAAAACGGGTTTCGGTTCAATTTCGGTTTCGGCGGCAAACCTGCCGAAGCTACGACCGAAACCGAAACTGCATTCGGGAGTTCTCGCGCTGTGATCGGTCATGTTCGGCGCGTTGAATTTCATACAGGCGGCGGACATTTTGCCGCGTCCACGTGCCTGATCATGTCATTACTCACTTTGTGATTTACTTTGTTTATTACATAAATATTAAGTACCAATTGTGATATTAGGTAACAACTTAAATAAGTAATTTTATGTTTAATATTTTTGAAAAACCATTAATAATATTCAAAAAAAGAATCTACACCTACTCAAATGAACACTTCACCTATTTTAAGTATTTTTAAGGTGCAAATAATATTTTTTCTTGAATAAGGGTTTCTTATGTTGATTATTAATTAAGTGAAAATGTCGAAGACTGCATAACGTTGTGATTTAAAGATAAAAAAATAAAGACCGACTGATTATAATAATGTTTTCTTTATTTTTCCCCCAAAACATAATCCTTCTAAGGAAGTTTCGGTTTCGGTTTCGGCCGAACCTGAGACCGTTGCCGAAATACGGTTTCGGTCGTGAAAATCAGTTTTGGTCGGACACTAAAAAAATATGAAATCGAATGACGTATTCATATACTAAGTGTTCCATTTAAGAAATATAACTTTGGTTGGCCACGTTCGGCTGAATCACCCTGTATGCGAGAAAATAATTTGGAAAGATAGTATTTATCGATATTACTGCGAAAATAAATTGAACAATTCGAAAAATTGTTTTCCCTAATATCAATTGACCGAGGGAATTTTGTTGACTCACCTTCTATATTCCAGAACTGAATCAAAGTTTTGAAAAAGTAGCTCTTACTTATCAGTAGATGAAGAGAAACATATCTCCAGTGGCAGAAGCTACGTAAATATTAGGTTGTTTCAAAAGTTCTGTCCGTTTAAGTAGGTACCATGTGTTTTCGTAGCTCCACATCTCAATAAATGTTTACTCCACTGTTTCTTGGTATATACTGGTCGATATACTCGTAGATTTAGTTATGTACTCTATACGTTGATGATATTGACTTTTTTCCTAATTATAATATTTTGACTTTCTTCAGCTCATTTAATACATGATATCGTTAAATGATTTTGGGCAAATTTTTCTGCACGAATTCAAATTGAACCAATCCCTGGTGGGGACTGACCCATCACAAATGGTGCCTATAATGCGGTTTTTGGTAGTTTCAAACGTATTGGAAAGGTCGATGAGCTCAAACCGAACAACTTTTGTATCAGATCATCACGTGTGATGAAAATGTTATCCTCTACAATAACAGGAGACGTTCAGGACAGTGATTGGACACCGTTGAGCCATCCAGGTACTTTCTAAAGGCGAAAACTTACCAAAAAAGACCATGGTTACTGTATGGGAATCAGCAGCTGGTATGATGAACTATAACTTTCTATTCGAAAATGAAATGAATTGAGCGTCGAAGTTCTGTCTCACCCACCATTCTCCCCAGAACTCTCGCCAACCGACTACCATTTGTTTCAAGCACTTCGATCACTTTTTCGCCGGTAGAACCTTCGTTAATCAGAACCAACCAAAAAACGGCTTTTGTCGACTTCATCAAATCCCAAGCACACAATTTTTATGCTGACGGAATTGATGGGTATTCACTGAGATATTACAGACTCATTGAAACGGACAAAACTTTAGAAACAATCTAATAACCGAAATGCAACCTAAATTTTTTGGAGACGTTTTTTAACTTTTTTTAGTAACCAATCTACTCACGGGTGTGAGTAATGAATGAGTTTGGGGGTGTAAGTGTATGTGTTTGTGTTACATGAATCATATTTGAATTCGGAGTTGAATTTTTGCAATGAGCCTTTTTCCTGAGAATAGTACAGCAAACGTGTCACGAGAGGCAGCACTATTAGTAGGGACAAACATTAACTATTCACATGTAAATACGTAATATTAATTTATTATTTGAAAATATAAATCTGATATAAAAAATTATTTTGTGCTAGTATAATGCCAACAAAGCATTGTTGTTTTGCGAATTGTACGTCGGATAATCGATATCCGGAAGAAAACGTGTTTTATATACCATTTATAAAACCCCATATTAATGAGGTTAGATGTAAGAAATGGGATACATGCTTTAACCATACTGGAAAGAAGATAGACATTGCTATTTTCAACTAATCCAATTGCACACATGGTTCTGAAACAGTATCAAATGATTTCAGCAAAATGGAAAACGGCAAAATTGTATCCATTCATGAGGGTGTTCAAGTAGCGAGGAGTCTTGAACATCAGCATGATAAACCAGTCTGAAAAAACTACTTCCGTAGTAACGTTATTTCTGCACAATGTTTTTGATTGAAACCAGAAACGTTCGGCTAGTTTTTCTGGAAGACAACTATTACAACGAAGTGTTGTATCTGAGTAAGATCTATTTCTGAGCTCTCAAAGATGTGTCTAACTTGAAGGAGTCGGAAGGGCCGTTAATCTCCTTTAATCCCCTTTGGTTGTACTATATGATTTTGGTCTCTATGTTGACCTATCGGTCAGCTACTAGAGACAAAATAAAATGAGGTTTTTGCTGAATTATTGAATTTTTATATAGAATAGTAACTATATAAAAAAGATATGCAGATTTGAGTGTTTTCTCAGAAAAGAGAAAAATATTTTCAATCTTTTTCACAAGCAAGTTACTTATTCAAAACTGTCAACACTAACATTCGTCAATAGTAGCACACCTGAAAGTATATGAGGTTTACTCGTATTAGAGATACCATTATGGAGTAATAACTCATCTCAACAGTTGTATTATTTTCCAAATGAGTATATTTACAAACTTCAAAAAGTCAGTTCAATATCTATCTGATATCATGAATATAATGAAAGTAAGCCAATATAATGGTAATTTCTTTTTATAGATATATGAACATACTAATTAAAACACTGTGTAACATAGATTAGAGTTTTATGGATGTTAAGTAACACTTTCTCATTTTGGAAATGTTTCAATTGGAAATAGGAAAGAAAGCAGTCCTTTGAACAATATTTTGAATCAATTACGAAGTTACTTACGTTGAAATCAGTATGAGAAAAATGAAATCAAATGTTAATGAAGCATGCATCTTAACATTCTCTACGACTTGGGCTACGGTCAGTCTTGCTCTGATCGATGTAATAAATCGATGCCATCCAGTTGTTCTTTCGGCGTTATCTCTTAAAAAAATCAAAGTGTCATGAAAAATGTATTTATTCCAAATGGAAACATCTTCAGGTGACCCAGAGATGATAATTCATGCCCAGTGGATGACTAAGTTTCATATATATTCATCATTACTTTATGAATGGAATGAAACTCTAATAGATATCAAAATCGAAGAGAGTTACACATGTATTAAGAAAATGAATATGTATTTCCAATTGAAATTTGAAACATTCTCCTTGTCAATGTCCCTTCACAGTAGGATAAGGCCAATATCTTCTGGAAAATGAATTTCTTCCCAGAGTGTTCACCTATAGACCAGTTTCGGAGTGTTACTCCTCATCAATGCAAGACAGATACAACCAAGACAATGATGTGGATGACACTTGTCTGATTTTAGCGTATCTCGGTGGTATATATGAATCCTCCGTCTCAGAAAAAATATGTTGACTACAGTGGAGTAACATGAGTTCAATTTCGAAAACAAAACCGTAAACGGGAAAAGAGCATCTCCTAACATACATTAGAATCAGTTTGTTTGAGGACTGTCTTGAGCAGGAGATATACATAAGTTTTAAGATATGAAAAGATTCACCACTCCCAATGTCCCAACACAGCAGAATACAGCAAATGCCTGCCGATTAACAACCCTGAAGAGCTTATGCTACATATTTTGTTTTATTAGGATTTTGGTATTTTTCTGGCTATAAATGGACATTCACTGGGCATCATTTTATTTTTCTTTGGGGTTGTTGGTTCTTCCTTGAAGGATTAGGATCCACCACTATCGGTTAGGCTGTTCCTTGTTTCGTATAGTGTTGAAGGATCCTACCGACTGCGCCAATTTTATTATAACTCACTTGAGAAAAATAACTTTTTAAAAATTAATATTTATTGAACAGGGGAAACAGATCTGTGTCCCTAGAGTTGAGTAGTAACAGTATGACAACTAGAATACAACTAACTTCATTACACCACGCAGGACGTTTTTTATATGAAAAAATATCATGAAGTAAGCGTCTAGGTGAACAAAGAACAGTAAACGGCGCCTGGGATCTTTCTGGAACTGCGTAGGTGCCGGATGTTGATTCAGCTATGCTCTTGAGAAGGTCACCTTGGAGATGAATGGTAGAGGTCAGCCATGGGTATATAACATATATATAATTCGGATAGGTTTCCGCGGTCAGTAATTTGATATACTGTTATCCGGGTTGAACCACGTCTGTAATTTTCATCGTTTCGACTTAGATTTGTACTAACATGACTCGAGGACGAGGCCGTAATTTTCCTTTTCCTCAAGTTTCGTTACTAGTTCTATGTTTGCTGTGTTCCACTCTAAATTCGTACTGTACATTCAGTACGTTCAGTAACAATGTGTAGTTACCTGAGTTTGAGAATTAATCTTTTAACATCACCATAAGAATAGAAGATGATTTGTATCAACATGTTCAAAGTAATATGTTTTTAATGGAATCACCTAAAATTACCTGAAAATTTCCTGAAATCTTCAGTTGCCATATTTGAAAAAATATTCAGTAGTGTAGAGTTGTTTATTTCTGTTTGGTCATTCAATAAATGACCCGACTTCTCATTTCTAAACATTTCTAAATATTGAATATCAAACTTTCCTCTTCTGAATGTGACATGTCATAGTCGTGATTGAACTCATGTCGTCCTGCTAGAAGATGGTTTGCAAATGTTGAATTTTTCCATTCAATAAACTGCTTCTCAATTCTTTGGAAAAAAGTTCTTCCCGTTTTGCCAGTATGAAGTTTCAGACAAAAGCCACAAGTTTTCATTGTTCTGTCTTTGTTTTTTTTTTGATAAATTTGTTTGAATAATTATTTGTTCTGCAAATCATAGTGAGGCATTCTTTTTTAAAAAACGAACGATATTATTGGTAGGTTCATTAAGATATGGGAATGTCCTACACATACCAGGGGTCGGCAATTTTTTGAGCTGGGACAGTCAAGAATCAAGTAGTGTTTTTCACGTTAAATTTGTAAAATACCTACACTGTGTCTAAGATAAGAATGAACAGCATGGGGATATCGGATACGGGGTCGATTGAATTAGAGAAAAGTAGCGCATTTATGTGCCTAATAATATGTCATACAGAAAGTTTTAATATTCCGAGTAGTATCGGAGATATCCAAGAAAAACCGATATTTGAGAATTTTGTTTTTATTTTATCCTAGCTTTATTTTCAAAGGAAATGTAAAACAAATAGCACTTTTCCGTGGCCACTTTTTGAGGACTACAAGATAATATAAGCAGAATTTTTCCGCGATGTTTCGTCTTTTAGAAAACATTATCAACTTTGTATTTTTATGTGGGCCGAAACTAAAGTATACCCTGTATACGACTCCATTTTTTATTATGAAGACAGCAACGTATAACACAACATGATTTCATACATTTCTCGCGCAAAATGAAAAGTGATTACTTACTTGCTTACTTGCTTTTTTTCAATTTTAGATAGTACCTACGCGCTGAAAAAAATTACACATAATGTTCTGATGTCATGAAAATACTGATGTTTGGTAGAATTTTTGACGTATTACCCTTCCTACTTTTACATCTCGTTACCTACCTAATTTGTGTTAAAAATGGAAAACGGCAGCTTTTCGAATACTGAAAAATTTCATTTGTTGTCCTGTTACATTTTGTGCCAAAGAAATTGTGTTGATGCCGAACGTGCGTACTCTAATAAGTATCCAGAGAGACGACAACCCGGTAAATCAATATTTAGTTCCTAATCTAAAAGAATACGGCTCATTTAAAAAACGTGTGGTTTCCCAACAAAAGCGATATAATGAAGAAAGTCAGCGTGATGTGTTACAGGCCGTTGTTGAAAATCCTGAGACATCCACTCGCACCATTGAACATAACACAGGAGTAGCCAAATCCACCGCTCACTTCATTTTAAGAAAAAATAAATATCATCCATTTAAGGTCATTTGAGACGGAGTGAACCATCTGAGTATCCCGAACAACAAAATTAATTCCAATTAGTTCGAGTGGTTCGTGCAACTTATAATAGTTCTGATTATTGGCGTCCTTGGTGGAATGATGTGATCTCTACTCTCGAATTTTAAAATCATACCGGCTTGCCGCACTAAGGCAGAACTCTCAACCGCACAGATGCAGAAGGCTGTCATTCTTGGCTCACTGCGCTTGCTCAGGGCACATGATTCTCGGACCCAATGATCATTTACCCCACGGTTGTGGGAGTGGTCATTGGTAGATAATGCTGGCGCGCCCTCCCGAATGTATCGGGGCTTCGGGGGATAGAGCCTGACCAGCGCACACTACGGTGAAAAAAAATAATAATAATAATTCCGATCGACCCGCTTGGAGGGGTCAGAGGCAACGTGGTGCGGCCCATAACGATGATTTGCCTACCAATGACAACCCTGGGAACGACAACGGATGCTTTGAGTGGACGCATGAGCTGAGAGATAGCCTTATGCATTGCTACGAGAGTAGTGAGCCCGCGCGAAGAGGATACATGGCGAGATTGCATGCTCTGTGGTGTGAAACACATCCGGAGCATGCCGCCTTTTCCGCCCAAAATCTTAGGGATTACGTATCCTATCTTCGGCGGCAGGGCTATATAGCTCCTCCCCAGCCTGCTAACGAAGTGGTAGAAGTGACAGTTCTACCACCCGTTGGCACGGGTGGAGAGGAGACTCGCATCATGCCACCAATGGAGTCAATCAGAACACGCAGGGCGCTCCACAGGATTAGACCCCTGAAGCTACAAGAACTAGCTTGTTTGGATGCGAAGGTTCATAGTGTTCTAACAGAAGAGGCTGACATCTGGCAAATCAACACCGCTGTGTATAACGTCAGTGGCTGTGTATAACAGAAGAGGCTGACATCTGGCAAATCAACACCGCTGTGTATAACGTCGTCCAATCGCTTTCCGAATCGGAAGGACGAAATCCCGGCCTTGCGGTTCGGGAGATTGAACGGCGTGTACACAATTTCGCATGAGCTCATCTTGCATTTGCTCAGATGCCTTGCGGTACTCGATAACATAGTGAGATGCATTGAACAACTGATACCACTTTGGCGTACTGTGCATTCTGTTACGGTTCTTTGTGCATCTAGATATACTCTTTCTCTTGTGTTTTGAATGATAATCTCTTCTTTTTATATAAACTATGCTATTTTAGTTTTCATTTATTTCTGCTATGTTTGATATGCAACCCATTATACATCTCCCCGATGAACTGGTTGTCTATTTGAAAGGTGAATAGTACCCATGAATTATTCCTTCAAATGTTTGTTACGTAGCAATACTTTGGCACGTTACAATGCACGAAATTGTAGAAGTGTTTGGGCTGGTTTAATGATTTATCGAGCAAGAAAAGATAAGGCTATTGTTTTGGGTTTTTCTATATGCACAGCGCTAAATTAACAATCTCTCTTCGATCATGATTTTGGGTTGTATTTCGTTTATTTCCTTCAAATTGTAGTTGGGTGTGATGAAATACTTTACTTATGAGCCTACCTTGTTTGGGGTATTTTCTTCGTAACTATTTCTCGAGATTTTCAATTAACTTCACAGAGCAACAATTCGAGTAACTTAACTGTTAGGCGGACCACACACTATTCTCCATTAATAAAAATCAATTGATGTAAGTAAGGTCCGCCAATCTCGACGTCCAAGCAATTGATTCTTCTCAACCAATCCACTTATCAGGAGATATTACATCAAACTTTTCTCGTACTTCCTCCAAAAAATATGCTGGTGTCCCATCTTACTGAAATGTATTTCATCTTTGACATGATTAACCAGATGTTCGATCAACCTAGAAAAGTCTTCTCTGAGGAATCGAAGGAACTCTTTTCCATTCAGTTTTCGTTCGAAAACGTATTGGTCGAACAACGTGATTATCCACAATACTGTCACAATACAATATGACTCAATTCATGTTGATGACCATTAATACGCAATTCATGTATATTTTCAGTACTATAATGATTGTAGTTATACT